GCACTGATAAAGGACTTTGGCAAAGTCTCAGGGTACAAAATAAATGTGCAAAAATCAGTTGCATTCCTATATACCAAAAACAAGCAGGCAGAGATCCAAATAAAAAGCACAATCCCATTCACAATAGCCATAAAAAAAAAAAAAGAAATACCTCGGCATCTTCCTAACCAGAGAAGTGAAAGACCTTTACAATGAGAATTACATAACACTGCTCAAAGAAATCCAAGAAGACACAAACACATGGACAAATATCCCATGCTCATGGATAGGAAGAATCAACATTGTTAACATCCTACCAAAGGCAATCTACAGATTCAACGCAATACCCATTAAGTTACCAACATCATTCTTTTCAGATCTGGAAATGACAATGCAGATATTCATATGGAAACATAAACGACCACGAATAGCCAAAACAATTCTTAGCAAGAGAAACAAAGCAGGAGGTATCACACTTCCAGACTTCAAACTTTACCATGAGGCTACAGTAATCAAATAGCCTGGTATTGGTACAAGAACAGGCATACAGATCAATGGAATAGGATAGTGATTCCAGAAGCAAAGCCTTAATTCCCCAACCAACTCATCTTTGACAAAGCCTCCAACAGCAACCACTGGGGAGAGGAGAATCTATTCAGTAAATGGTGCTGGGAAAACTGGCTGACCACATGCAGAAGATTGAAACAGGAGCCCTACCTGTCACCATCCACAAAAATTAACTCTAAATGAATCAAAGACCTAAACGTAAAACCTCAAACTATAAGAACCTTAGAAAACGCAGGAGACACCCTTAGGGAATAGGAACTGGTTCCCAGTTCCTATTCAGAACCCTAAAGGCCAATACCTTAAGAAATAAGATAGACAAGTGGGACCTCATCAAATTAATGATCTTCTGCAAAGCAAAAGAAACCATCAAGATAGCAGGGAGACAGCCCACAGAAATGGAAAAAATATTTGCCAACTGTATATCTGACAAAGGCCTAACATCTAGGTTGTACAAGGAACTCAAACACACCGAAGGGGAAAAAACAAACAGCCTCTTCAAAAAGTGGACAAAAGACATGAATAGACACTTCTCAAAAGAAGATATACAGGCAGCCAACAGACACATGAAAAAGTGCTCAGCCTCACTCATCATCCCAGAAATGCAAATCAAAACCCCATTGAGATACCACCTAACTCCTGTCTAAGAATGGCCATCATTAATAAAACAAACAACAACAGATGCTGGTGAGGATGTGGAGAAAAAGGAACTCTTCTACACTGCTGGTGGGAATGCAAACTGGTACAACCTCTCTGGAAAACAGTGTGGCGATTTCTGAAAGAACTAGAAATTGACCTTCCATATGACCTAGCAATTCCCCTATTGGGAATATATCCGGAAGAACTCAAATTATTCTACAAAGAAGATACCTGCACACGTATGTTTGTTCCAGCTCTATTCACAATAGCAAAAACATGGAACCAACTATATTGCCCATCAAAGCTGGACTGGATAAAAAAAAAAGTGGTACATATACACAATGGAATATTATGCATCCATAAAGAAGGAAAAATATATGGACTTTGAAGCAACCTGAATGAATTTGGAGTTGATCATACTCAGTGATTTATCACAGAAACAAAGAACACAGTTCCATATGTTCTCACTCATGAGAGGATCTTGAACAATTATAATGCTATAAGAAAGTGATTGGAAGTATTGGAAAACTGTTGGGTGGGGGGAGGTGGGATTGGCAGTTGAGGGAAACTGCTAAGGGAGGGAGGGGCATACCTCATCAACAAGGATACCTGCATGATCAGTGTTTGTATACCTAACCATATCTTTATAATAAATATATTATATCTTTATAATAAAAATTAATTTAAAAAAAGAGAAAACAAACAAGCAAAAATCTTGGCAAATTGAGCCAGGGAAATCTATACTTGTGTACCTAATAATAAAAACTATCACAAAAGTCTCTGCAAAAACACAACCTAGCACAAAGACCATTATAATCTTACACAAAAAATACTTCTGCAAGGACATCTGTCCAGCAACAGCCTGTCCAACCTCAGATTGGTGTCACTCTTGTTATTGATCTTTGTAGCCAAGGATAATTATCTCAAATCAATTATGTAATCCTCTTAATTTTTCATTTAAAAACCCATGTCTTCCTTTACCTCTCTGAATACGTGTATAGTTGATGCTGGCACATTTATTCCTACTGCAACGCTCTACTCCTGAATAAACATAATTTTCTTTTACTCCACCCTCCCTCTGTTTGTTATTTAGGTTGACACATGAAAAGGAATTTCAGTAGGTCTATTTAGAGTATTCATGCAGATAGAGTTTATAAGGCACATGGCACAATATCTGATATAAAAAGTGCTCACTAAACATTAACTGCTGGGAGCCAAAATCTATAGCTACATGGCTGAGGCCTGTAAAGGCCCATCTGGAAGATCGCCTCTGACATAGGATATCACTTATACCTATAATATTGGCGTGTGATTAGTGACCAGTGTGCATACATGGCAGTAAAACTTATAAGTAAATCTCAGTACACCTGATGGAAAGTGCACAGCAGAATTATTTTTCTCTGTCTTTCTAAGTTTTACTTCTTTCTAGATATTTTTTAACTTCTATTTCCTGGTAGACTGGTTAGTTAGCTCTTGTTCCCAAAGGCAGTTTCTCCTAGGATTAAGATTAGAAACTAAATTACCATAATAGTTTTATTGCCCTGCCTCTAGTCAGGCAGGACGTTTTTCTAGTTTCGTTACATGCCGAAACTCTGTTTGCTTCAGCCCATGGCCATTGTCATGGTAACCATGCAGTCCATTATCCAAGAGTGTGACAGCTACTATTTGATTTTTAGAATAGACTTGTTTGGATAAAACATACATTTAAGACGATACAATTTCCATCGAAAAGATTTAAACAGTAATAAGCATTCATAGAAAACTTTTGAGTTTTGTTTAAGCTTTCAAGTTTCCTTTTCTCAGATTATGACTTTAGTTCCTGTTCCTGTAGGCCAATTTTAAGATCCTTTGATTAGTATACCGAAATTTTCCCAACGGTATTGTTTTTGCTTCTAATATGACAATAGGAAATTTTGCACGTAGCCCTGTATTAATATACTAGGAAAAAAGATTTAAGTTTTGGGTTAAAGTCGTAGTTTTATTAGAATAGAATGAGAATTATAGTGTTATGATTTTAAAATCATACGTCAATGATAATTATAAGATTTAATGATAAGGTATTAGCTTAATAGGATATAGCATAGTATTAAAGGCCAATCATTAGATTGTATAAAAATTAAAGTTTAGACATAGGAAATTCACTTAAGTCATGGTTAGGTTTTATAGTTTAAGAATAAGTTTTGTTATAGAATTACAGGACACTATGTTGAATCATAATAGGTCAATGGAGTAAATAAAAATTAAGTCATTTAAGTAAACTTATAGATTATAGTATAGTGTTAAGTTGATAATATCAATCATTAAAAAATATTAGGAGTCAGTGAACTTGGATTGAACCTAGAGTTAACTTAGAAAGTTTTTGTATTAAATCAGGGTTTAGAACAAAGAGTATAATATGAATGATTTATTGAACACTATGGAAGACATTTTGAACGAACTGTATTGAAATTGTGCACTGTGACCTTGATGTGAGTTTTGTGAAGCACGTCAGGCATCATGGAGTTTGAATTGTTTGCTCGAAACTTGCAAGTCTCGTGATGGTCTTGTGATGCATGGTTTGTAAAGCACGGAATTTGTACGCCCCTAGCAAGTGATTATCACACTGCTGGAGGGTATAGAAAATGGTATATAAGTTGGAAAAGATTTGAATAAAATTGGCTTCAGTCCTGATCAGACTGTTCCCAGAAGAACTGCCTCCGAGTGGTCTCTTCTCGCCGTCCAGATTCTCCGGTGCGGGTCCTAACCCACCCTTGGTCAGTGCTGGTCACCGACAATTAACTTAGGGAGGGGCTGCTCAGTCCCTTTGTCTCTCTTGAGAAAGTACAGGCCAAGGCAAACTTAATTCCATGAGGCCAACTACTCAACTCTGCCAAGTGGGAATGTAGCAATGACCCCCTGCCCCATTCTTTGTACTCAGGAAAAGGAGGAGAGATGGTTGAGAAGCATCCTGAGGGTGGGGGGAATCATACTAGGATGAACAGTTGGTCCCAGAATAAGACATCATTGAACATCATATGATCAGATCAAACAAATGTATCAAGGGGCCAAGAAGGAGAGTTGAGGAGGCTGCAGAAACTCCAGCTGGAGCCCAGGTCCTCAAGGGAGAGAGCACACCTGCCTCAGTACTGAGGGCATGTCTACCTGGTGTGTGCTTCCTCAGGTCACTTTCCACTGCAGAGTGGCCTCTGATACCTAAGTATTGCCAAACAGTAGGGCATTTAGACAATTATAAAACCCTTCCAAGCACCAATCGCTCCACATGTGTGATCTTACTTAGTGCAACTAACACATGGCTCCATTTTACAATAGAGAAAATAGAGGCTCTCAATGAAACACTCAAGTGTCAAGTGTCAAGGTGACATAGGCAGTGTGCCTGAGCCAGGGTTCTAGGGCCCAGGCCTGGTAGCCAGCATCCTTCCACAATCTAATAATAATATTCCCTCCTGGTAAGATTCTGGTGTACCTGGCCAGGCTCAGATGCTGGGCTGCCCCCATTTCCCAGGAGCAGACATGGACTCCCCACAGGAAAGGAGAGCTGAGGGCAGACTCAGCCTCCAAAGTCAGTCTGGCTGATGGTGAAGCCCTGATCTGAGAGGTTCTCAGGGTACTGGGGTATTTATTATGTCCCTGCTTGGCAGATGAAGGGAGTGGGGGCCAGACTTCCCGCTAGGGCCCTCCTTCCACTTGTCCATGCTGCCTCTAACCCTACAGTGTCCACAGTGAATGGTCAGCAAGGGTTGGGAGGCCTGGATGACTGCAGGAAGAGGAGGGAGTGTGTGGGCAGTTTGCAACTCAGTGGCACCAAGGGGACAACTTACCAATGATATTGTTTTTGCTGAAATTGAATCTGCAGATAACATCATCCTGGTTCTTTATGTTATGAAAGCCACTTCCATGAATAACCACGTCATAGGATTCTGTAAGAATGACATTCAAAAGTCTCAGTGAGAAAGAGCTGAGGGCTGCATGGACAAATGGTGAAAGTATATGGGTTTTCATTGTATAATGCTTTCCACTCCACTGTAGGTTTGGGAATTTCTACGATAAAGAATTAGAACTGAATGAGAAAATTATGCCATGGTCACAGACAACCAGATGTGGTACATTCTGGGTGATGAGTGGCTTAGGAGAAAGAAAGACCAAAGCCAGAGGTAGCAGTCAGTTGGGAATGCTTTAAGGGCGAGGCACCCTGTGTCACTTCAAAGGACATGTCACCTTCCTCAGCCTTAAGGCCTTAAAGCTGAGGAAGGACTTGTGTAATGCCTGGGACGCACTGGAGCCTTTCTCTGTATACATGGGGCTCAGGACATAGCCTGGACCTTGAAGAGCCTGGTAGTCCTGCTGAGAGGACTCAGACATCTCAACCAGGTTGAGGTGAGGAAAGGGGCCAGCTCAGAGCCCTCAGCCTCTGTGTGAAGGAGATGCTGAGGACAGGCCTAGGGCAGGGAGGCCAGCACAGACCTCTACCACACCGGGTGTGAGCCCAGGGGTTGAATGGTGGAGGCTGGGCCTCGTGCTTGCCCTCCCTTCCTTCTTCCTTCCTGGACTCCTCCGCATACTCCTTGATTCTTGGTGATAACCTGGTGAAATGACTTATTCTATTGCATTTGGGATCCAGGGTCTTCCTTGGGATTTTCATGCAGTAGACTGTCACCCTGTGTGGGCAGCTTTGTATAAGTCAGCCAACAGCTGACAAGTCAGGGCTGTGACCACTGGGCTTTATGGATGGATACAGTGTGCTGAGTTGATGGGGAGAGGGCACCTGTCACCTCTACTCAGCTACCACAGGGAGGTGTGATGACTCACATCAGGAGGAGTGGGCTATCAGGCTGGCTGCATGACTGGGCTGCTTTAAATTCAGAGAAACCAGACTCTATGGGAGAGGGGGCTCTCTACCTCACCCCCACCCATCACTGCAGCCCTTGACCCACTCCCACCCTTGCACAGCATGGGGAGGGAGGCAGGGTGAAGGGGTAGAGCCCAGGATGAGAGAGAGAAATATCACACCAGTTTCTGTTTCTGGGAACAACCAGCCTCCAGTCCTGTGCCCGTCACTGCCCAGCCCACTGCCTCACTGCTCACAACAGAACCAGCAGTGCCATTTCTGTCCATGGGAGGCACCATCGGAGCTTGTTGGCATTTGGCCATTTGCCCCAGGTTGCATGCCCACAGGGAGCAACGCTCAGACATGGACAGTATGTTTGTCACCATAGCCTATTGCAAGGACACCTTGCAGTTAGGAACATGGAGGCTAGAACCCAGCTGCTGGTCTGGGTTCAGCTGCATTCAGTTGTGTGCTGCCCCCGTAAAGGAAGGGCACTTGGGCTTCTTTTTCTCTCCAGCAGCCACAGCTGTGCAGATGCCAACGATGCAGGGACCCAGACTGAATAGACAGAGCTCATTACAGAGAGGGCATCATCATCACAGGACTGCAGAGGGATGTCCTCATCACTGATGCAGGGACCATGGCTAATGAGAGGGTATCCCTGTCATATCCCAGTTCTCAGGGACAGGTGTTCAGATTGAACCACTAGAGTGATATGAGCCATGGATGTTTGTGTGGACACCTTTGTCAGGCAATGGAGGGTTCCTTCTCTTCCTAGTGTGATGTGAGATGTTGGATCGTCCCCAATTCTTGCTCTTCATCCATTGAGATAATCACCTCGTTTCTCTTCCCCATTTTGTTGATGTAGTAATTTACACAGATATTTCAAACCCCAAGTCAGCCTTGCATTTTGGGATGAGCCCCAATGGCTCTTGTCCTATTTCATATTTGGCTCCATTATATGTGCTAGTGTTTCCCCGAGAGCTTTTAGCCTACACATTTTTTTCTTGTTTTATAATGAAAATTATTGTTATAACAAAAGAATAATTGCACACATATACCCACTCCATCACCCCTCGCTTGTACGCCCCACACTAATGTGCACTAACATATACATCCAATACACCCAATACACATGCAGGCCACACATTCACACCCATTAACCCCATACACACTTGAGTACAAACACACAGCATACACACCATATACCATATACACAGACATATACTACACACCACCCACATACCACATATGCACACAGGCATCACATACACAATACCTACATACATAAATCACACACACCATGTGCACACCATACACCATACAGACCACTCCACATATGAATACCACACACAGCCATGACTCTCACACACCCCTATGCAGCACACACACCTCATATACCATACCCACACACTCCATACACCATACATAATCCACACATCACATAAATACCATACATGTCACGCACCCTCATAAACCCCATACCACACATACTATCCCCACATACCCACCATCAAATGTACACACCAACTATACATATACACTCCCCAAACAAACAATTTCCTCCCACACACACCACACACACACACAAAGTAACCTCACAGGGACACTCGCAAACCACATGCCTTCTATAGTGCACACACACACACACACACCCCACCTAAACCCTACACACGCCACACACACTTAAACTCCAAACACGAATTCACAAAAAATGCCAGACACACAGCACACATCCCATAAACACACACCACAGACATCACATACCTACACAAACTACATGCACTCATACCCAACACACACATACCACACACATCAGAGACATGCCACATACCACACACATAGGCAATACACTCATCACTTCTTTCACACAACACACTCACACCACACACCCACACATGCTACACTCACACACCAGACATTCTCCCTACATGCACTCTCACAACACCCTCAAGCCACATGCCACATATCCTCCGCACACACACCACACACATATGCATATATGGCCCCCTGACATTCACACCCTCACACACATACAATACACACCTCCTTATTCCCCACATACAACACACACATATATAATACCCATACCATACCACACATCCTTACACATACCCTACACATACCACATTTACAGTGCATACACACATACCATATACATATTGCACACACATTTATACAACATCCACCACATGCACCTATATCACACTCACCTGCAATATACCACATACACCAAACTACTACATGCATACACATCCCCCCACATAACACACATATCAGTTTCTCAATATACACACACCACAACCTTCCCACACATACTACACTAACATAAACTACATACACACATACCATACACACATCCTATATGCCAAGACACACCATACAGCATGTACAAGCAACACACTCACATACTCCCCCAAGCACATCCTCTGCTACACTATCAAACAAATGCACACACTTCACACACGCACATGCACATACTATGCAAATACACACACTTCAATACACACACTTACATATGCACTCTTCTGGCTGCCACAGTGACTCCTTAGCTCTTACCTCCCGCACACGCAGTGGCAGGTTCCACGGACAAAACATCAAGACAGGTCTTTGAAATGAGCTGGAATGGAGACAGGGTTAGAATGGGACAGGGAGTGTGAGCCTCGGGGCACTGGTGGCAGGTCGCCCACACCCTTTTCCATCAGCCCCACTTACCTTGTCAATAGTGTTTTTCATGGCTTTGAAGCCATTTTCCACTGCAAACATGTGCTCTGGGCTGTCTGCAATTGCTTTTATCTACATGAGAGAAGAGGTGACTTGGACTCCCCAGCCAGAGTGGGGTATAGCAGGTCCCCAGGCCCAGGAGGCAGTATCTTGCCCTCAAGCCATGGGGACAGCAGAATGTCACACTCCTAGGACCCAAGTCTTGCTCCTGCCAGCAGCCCGGCCTCAGGGAGAAGAGAGCTCTTCCACCCTCCTCTCTGGTGTGGTGGTATTTATAAAACATGGTGTGATTTACTCCTGCAGTGTCCCTGGACTGGCCCCAATCCCTTGGACAGGTTAGAAGACCATCCTCTGGGTGGCCCTGGGAAAGCCACCTGTGAAACCTTTCCCCAACTGGGCTCAAGAGTGGCACCTGGCTACCTGCTATGAATTACCTGTTCTCTCTTAAACCCGGCCACACCCACGGTATAAACGGTTGCCCCCATGGTCCGAACATGGTTTGCCTAAGACAAAGAAGGTATAGAGTTAAAATCACCAAAATATATGGGGCAAATGCTAGTTAAGATAGACTGGACTCACCAGGTCAAGAGTGTCTTCAAATGCAAATTTATCCAGTGTTCCATCAGTCATAGCGATAATCATGCTAGAAACATTGTGGCCTGTAGAAAAAGTGGAAGTGGCCCATTTCACAAGGGCACCAGGAATGACCACCACAGTATTGACCGCTTCAGAGTGTGGCCAGGTGCTCCCTGCTCATCGTCTTGGGGAGAGGTTGCCCATACCCAAGAACGCATCACCCAGAGACTCCTAGAGTGAGACAGGGCCTCCACCTAGGACCTATTTTACAGATGGGGGACTGAGCCAGTTCAGGGCCCTCCTGGCCATGATGCCCCAACTCTTGCTAACCACCAGACTGTACAACCTTTGCCTGAAGGGCAGCTCCAACCATGACTTGACAACAATTAGCCTGTTCTACAAATAGAGGAAGGAGCAGCCAGACCCTCCTGTAAAAGGCAGGCTCAGAGAGGCACCATAGGGGCTGGGCTCCTGCTATGGGCAGAGCCTGCAGGCAGTCCTTCTGGCATCGTTGGGCCCAGTGATTCAAGACTCCAAGTCAGAGGCATCAGGGCAGGGGACCCACCTCAACCCCTTTCTCCACTAGTCCCCACCTCCTTCATGACAAAATCTGCAATCCCACAGTAGAGAAGGGAGTCACTTGGACCGTGGACAGTGTTTTGCACTATTTGAGACACAGTGAGGAGATGCAAGCCACTCACTTAAAAAAAATAATGGGGAAAGGAAAAGGAAGACAAAGTTGTGTCAGCAAGAGGGAAACCAGCTGCTTTTTCTCAAGGGGCCTTTAGCTCTTCTTGTGTCCTTTTCACACAGCCCACCTGTAGAACAAGCAACTTGCATTTACAGAGCACACACACGATCGTATGCAGTTCTCAGAGCATTGTGGGGGCAGGGTTCACTATGCTCATTACACAGGGAGCAACCTGGAGCTCAGAGCAGTGAGCAACCTGCTCCAAGTTCAGAGCCAGGCAGGGCCGAGGTGAGATCTGCACACAGGCTTCTCTGAGCCCCATGCCTGCCTCGGGCTCCAGACCTGACCATGATGCAGTCAGCAGGCTCTTACCTCCTCCAGAGTTGGTATATTCAATCTGCTGTATTGCCTGCAAGGAAGTGGAGAAATCTTGAGTGTGAACAGAGAGATGACCCCAGTACTATTCTAAGAACTAGTAAACTAGAAAAGTTTCTCTGAGCTCTAGTGGTTTATACCTTTTCAAATCCTTTCTGCATGTATGTGTGTCCCTCAGGTATCACTTTCCGAAGTTTTTCAAGACCCTTTCTTATTTTTTCTCTGAAAAAAAGGGGAGAGTTAAGGTAGAGAGGGTTTGACTCTTAAGAAACAGCTCCCAGGCAACCCCTTTGGGTTCCCTCACAGAAGGTAGCTTTTCTGTCTTCTTAATAAATCCTGTTTTCTCAAAAAAAAAAGAAAGAAAAAAAAGAGAAGAGAAGAAACCGCTCCCAAGCTATCCCAGAGACATTGTCCGCTGTGCTGGCCCACCTGGAAGGAAGAAGGGACCAAGCAAGTACTCTGTCATTGCCGTTCTTCATCGTGGTTTTGATAAGAGTTCAAGGACTCTGAGCTCATACCTGTCTCAGGGACCACGGGCCTCAGGAAAGTCAGCAAAGACCCTACCTGGATTGTTCAGGGTGAGAGTGGGAGCTTCTCATGGATGAACCACTTAGAGTGAGTCCTTCCCAATGGACAGGCATTCCTAATCCCAACGCTGATCCTAACCCTAACCCTAACCCTAACCCTAACCCCAATCCAGGGATATACAACTGCAGTCAGGGACTCAAAATGGGCCTTGCCAACATAACCCAAACCATAACACTAATCCAGAGATGTGCAACTGAGAGTTAGAAACTGACAATAGGACCAATATTCTACTTGTAGTCCTAATCCTAGTCTGAACCCTGACCCTCAACCTAGCACTAACCCTAACCCGAATCCCAAAGGCCCCTTTGTGTTGGTCACTCTATCGCTCAACAGATAGGACTGAGTTTGGGAAAGGTCATCCTGCTAAGTTCCTAGCCCTGCATCTAGCCCCCAGGGCCACAGATCCTGGCTCAGTCTCCCCATCTTCCTTTACCCTGTCAAAGGAAGTAGCAAATCTGCTTAATTAGAGTGCCAGGACTCCTTGGTTTCCTGTGCTCCTGAAACAAAAAGACCAAAGGCCTAGAGAAGCGGTCCTGAGGCTGTGCATGCAGGCGGCTGAGCACTGATCTGCAGGCTGGCTTGGGGATGTGGCCTGTCAGCCACTGTTAAAGCAAACAGGACATGCTGGGGCAGGACTGGGACAGGAAAGGGGGGTTCTAGGTTCAGGCTAACGCAACGTGACAGGCTGAGCCAGCACAGCAAGGTTGAGCAGAGCATGGACCTTGAAGGCTGAGAGCCCTTCCTCAGGGGAACTGAGAGTTCTGCCTGATCCTGCCCAGTCCTGTCCAGAAAGGGAGCAGACAGGTCCAGACATGCCCAGCAGAGGCCACACCAGGCCCTGCCCAGCCCAGCCCCCTCCTCTTCTCCTGCCATGTTTGCAGAATTTCAGTTTTGTGGGCCGCATCCTTAAATGAGCTGGAAACCTCAACCTCTGGTACAGGATCTTGTTGGCTGAGCTTCCCTCTGGGCTGAGCAAGCTCTCCCTGGTGCTGCCCCTCCAGCCCAAGCCACGCCCTTCTCCAAGCTCTGCACCTGTAAAAACACCAGGCCCCTGGATCCCCCAGCAAACTGTCCTGCTCTCCTCCCTAGTACTGTCTACCTCTCACCATCTCATCCTCATCTTCAATCCTGGTGCCTTCTGGCCCCTCTGCATCCTCCAGCACCCAGAGAAAAACCATCTGGTCTGGGACTGACCATCCTCAGCCTGCCCTGTCCCCACTAGCAGAAAGGGCCCAGAAAGCACCACCCTGGTCCTAGCCCAGAGGCTCAGCAAAGTTCCAGGAAGTTGGGCACTTTTGGGAACAGTCAATCCCTGGCTACGCCAAGCTTCAGCAAGGATCTTGGGGCTCCTCAGAAGTTGACAGCTCTGGGGACCTGAACTCTAAGCTGTCGTGCCCCCCGAACACAAACACACACACACACACACACACACACACACACACACACACACACACACACACACACACGATTTCACATCTTTTCCCCTGAGCCCCATCCCTTAGGAAAGACAGCCCCACCTTACTCCCCAGAGACGTCGAGAACATCACATCAGAAGCTCCCCCACACCTGGCATCTCGGGCTGCACACTGCAGGAGGCACTGGTCTTTTTCTGGCCATGTCCAACTTCTGCTTCCTCTCTGGGCCACCCACCAGAGCCCTTCCCCATGGATTTGCTTTCTTCCCACCTATAGCCCCTCGAGTCAGTCTATCCCAAGCTCACAGCACAGGATGCACAAATACAAGCCTCCTTCTAGGTCATGGAGCAGCAGCCCCTTCCCCTTCATCCCTTTGAAGTTGCAAATGAGTCTAGGCACCCATCCAGTGCTCCGTGTCCTCACCCCTCTTCTGTGCTTCATCCTGTCTGAACCACTTCCAATCAAAGTATCCTTCACTCACCACCCAGCCAATCAGGAGCTCTGCAAGACCCCTCTACACACACACACACACACACACACACACCACACACACACATACACACATACATTAAGCACCCTTCTGGGCCACCTCCAGGCACAATCCTCCCCACCCTACCCACCCCTGCCTTGCTCCTTCTTCCTCACTCCAGCTCCCCAGCCTGACCTAGTGCTCAGGATATCCTCATGGGCTACCCTGTCTGGGACCCACAAGGGAACCAAGCTCCCCTGCACTAAAGCCCCCAGCATTTCCCCTGACTCTGACCTTATCTCTCTTCTCCACTGGCCAGGGCCGAGAGTGACAAGCACAGAGCAGTGCCTGGCACAGGCACGTGTTCACAGGAACCCATACAGCTGCCCCACCAGGTCTCTGGACCCCAGAAATCCTCACAGCCACCTCCCAGGGAAGGAGGTAAAGCAGAGAGAGGGCAGGGGATGCCAGGACTTTGGGACACAGGGATCTGTGGGTACCGACAAAGCCAGAGGTCAGATGGGACAGGGGAGCTGTGGCTGGAGCCAGAGCAGGTATGAAGGGTGTCCTGGCTGGCCCACCACCTGTGCTGGCATGCTCCCGTTCAAGGTATTAGGGAACCCTCAGCTCCCTGGGGTCTCCTGTGGCTCAGCCCACCTTGGAGGTTTGAAGTAGCACTTACCTGTCTGAGGTGAGTGGCATAACGATGTCACTTTCTGTGGAGTAGGTGATGAAGGACATCCGCATATTTGGGCTGGGGAGAAATTAGGTGCTGCTGAGAAGCTATAGGCCTAGGCCCCAACCCAGGAAGTGGGGGAGGGCCAGCTTCCCAGATCCCCACTCAAACTCTTCCACTTTGGGGTCCATTGCTGGCCACAAGAGGTTCAGATAAATTTAGTAAAGGAATCTGAGGCCTCTGGAGATGTGGGGTCCCATGGAAGAGAGACAGGATGGCAGCCTGCTGCATCCCTGCCTCCCACCACCTGAAAACACATACAGATACACACACACACACACACACACACACTGAACATGCAGGTGAGGGGCACACACACCTCCATGAGGGCTTCCCTCTCAGCTAGTTTCTCTTCTACTAGAAAGTTCTCTTTCTCTTCGCCTCCTTCCCTCCTCCCCTATCTTCTCCTAATCCCTCCTCCCATCTCAAAGAAGTTATTCTCCCTCTGGGGAGCCATGCACACACACCCTCCCTTTTCTCTCCCTGACAACTGCCTCTCTTCCCGCTGCCGCAATATGTCCCCAGCTGGGCTCCCCAGGGCCCCTGCTCTTGTTCTCACTCACCCTAACCACAGTTATCAGACCTTTCTTCCTTAAGCACAACCTAGATGATGTCACTGCCCTGCCCCCAAACCTTCTATGGCTCCCTATGGTTCACAGCAGGAAATCCTAGCCCCTTTGCCTGGTATTAGGACCCCCCCACCCATGGTTTTGACCCTAAGCTGACCTGCCCATCCTCGTCTCATGACCCTCCTCTGAAGGAACCCCATTCCCAGCCAAGCCAGATCCCCCACTTCACCACAGGTCACCTCGATGGTTCCTGTTGCCCCATCTGTTCCATCCTGCAAGACCTGGTTCAAAGTTCTACATTCCCTGGAAACCATCCTTCCCTTTGTCCCTAAGAATTCTTGCTTTTTCCTTTAACCTTCCATGGCAATTTCTTTGTCCCTTTTCTTTGTCCCTCACCACTATGTAACCAGGGACCCAGTCACTGAGCCAATGGTCTGCCTGTCTAGCATTCTTTCCCAGCCTGTGAAGTCCCCAAGGGCAGACAGTGTCCTCTGTAATATGTCCTGGCTCACAAGCAGGAGCCAGTAAAGGCTGCTGAGACCTGAGGGAACCTGTGAGCTCTGGCCTCATTCCTGCTTCAGAATGCCACCCTGCCCTCTGCTCCCCTTTGAGGGACTGCCATGCCCACCACAGTTACTGGGATCTGCCCTCTGCCTGCCAAGAAAAATCTCCCTGCAGTACAGAGGAGCCTGCCACGTGGAGACCCATACTTTTGGAACCTTTGCACTGTTTCCTCCACCCACAAATAAAGATCAATCCAGTTGTTGTTCACGCTGCCGGACCTGCAAACAAAGGAGACATAAATCAGAGGATGAGGTACACCTGTCAGGTGAGCAGAGTCTCTGTCTCCTGAGCCTTCCAGCAGGCTCTTTAACAAGCTTTCTCCACCCCAAAGCAACTGAGGACTGGGGCACACCCTCAGTGACCACAGTGGATCATCATGTGACCACCCAGATCTGTCTGCTTGGGACTGAGGAGGCTCCTGGGATGAGGGACTTTTATTGGTCAACCAGGTGGCTGGTCATACTAGGTGGGGTCTGTGTAGAAAAAAACGGGGAAGGATGTATTGGTTGTAAAGTCCCCAAGGAAAAATCCAAACAAGAAAATTAACAACAACAAAATTCTGTTTACAGTAGCGTCAAACAGAACAAAATATTTAGCAATAAATGTAACTAAGGAGGCAAAAGAAATGTATATTGAAAACTATAAAACACTGCTGAAAGAATTTAAAGGCACAAATAGTGAAAAAAATATCACATGTTGATGAATTGAAAGGCATGTTATTAGCATGACAATGCAATCAATATCAAAATCTCAGCATTCTTACAGAAATAGAAGAATGCACACTAAATTTCACATAGAATCTTAAGAGACTTTAAATAGCTATAAAAACAAAAAATCTTACAAAAGAAGACAAAGTCGAGGACTCACATTTTCTGATTTCAGGATTTATTACAGAGCTATAGCAATCAAATAGTGTGGTACTGGCATAATGACAAATACATAGAAAATGGAGCAGAACAGAGAGCACAGAAATACCCCTTCATGTATATGATCAATTTATTTCTAACCAGTGTGCCAAGACCCTTCAGTGTGGGTTGTAGTTTCTAGAAATGGTGCTGGGATATTGGATGTTCACATGCAAAAGACTGAAGTTGAAGCCTCCTGTATGCCATTACAGAAATTAAATCAAATGGATCAGACCTAAATGTAAAAGCTAAAAGCTTTTAAACTCTTAGAAAACATAGGAGAAAGCCTTCATGACTTTGGATTTAATAAAAAATTTTTTGGTATGGCACTAAAAACAGTGAAAACAAAAAAAGTAGAAAAACTGGACTTCATCCAAATTAAAAACTTGTGTGCATCAAAAAACCACTATCACAACAGTGAAAAAACACAGAATAAGAGATAATATTTACAAATCACATCTGATAAAGGATTAATGTCCAGAAGATAAAGAGTTCCTACAACAAAAAAGAAAAAATAAAACAACCCAACAAAAAATGGGCAAAGGACTTGAATAGACATTTCTTCAAAGAAGATATACAAAAGGCCAATAAGCACATGAAAAGATACTCAACATCACTAATCATTAGGGAAATGTCAATGAAAATCACAAGAAGATGCAATGTTATACCCGCTGGGATGGCAACTATCAAAAAACAAAACAAAGCAAAAACCCCAAAACAGAAAATAACAGGTGCTGGAGAGACTGTGGAGAAATTGAACCCCTTGCACATTGTTGGTGGGAGGGTAAAATGGTGCAGCCACTGTGGGAAACAGCTTGGTAGTTACCCAGAAAGTTAAACACAGAATTTCCATATGATCCATCAATTCTACTCCTGAGTATACATCCAAAAGAAGTGACAGCAGGGACTCAAACAGATACATGTACACTAGTGTGCACAGCAGCATTATTCACAATAGTCAATGGTAGAAACAACCCAAGTGTCCATTAACAGATGAACAGATAAACACATTTTGTATATATACATATGATGGAATATTATTCATTCATACAAGGGATGAAATTCTGATAGATGCTACAATATGAATGACCTTAAAAATATTATGCCAAATGAAATAGACCAGACATAAAAGGACTAATATTGTGTTTGTGTGATTGTATTGTGTGATTCCACTTACATAAAATATCTACAATGGGCAAATTTATAGACACAGGAAATACAAGAGGGGACTCCCAAAAATCTGGAATTATTTTTTGGAGGGCAGGCCCCTTGTAGTACAGGCTTCCCCCACTAGGTAAGTTTTCTAGGAACCCATCGGCATCAAACTAGTGCAGCCTCTGTGGAAAACAATGTGGTAATTCCTAAAAGATCTAAAAACTGACCTTCCATATGACCCTGCAATCTCCTACTGGGACTATAACTGGAAGAACTCAAATCACTCTATAAAAAAGATACCTGCATATGAGTGTTTATCACAGCATTGTTCACAGTAGCAAGAACATGGAGCCAATCATGCTGCCCATCAAAAGAGGACTGATAAAAAAATGTGGTACATATACACAGTGGAATATTACACAGCCATAAAGAAGAACAAAGTCATGAACTTCACAGCAATCTGGATGGACTTAGGGTCTATAATACTGAGTGATCTTTCATAGAAACAAAGAACTGAGTATTACATGTTCTCACTCATAAGTGGACCTTGAACAATTATCCTAATGCTATAAGAAAAAAATTGACAGTAGCTGGAAACTGCCAGGAGGGAGTGGGGAAGCAGGATTGGCAGTAGTGGGACTCTGCCTGGGGAAGTGGGGTGTACACTCATCAACAAGGGTACCTGCACAATGAACATTTGTATACTCAACCCTGAATTGTACCCCACATCTTTAAAATAAAAAAAAATTAAAAGAAAAAAAATGTACCACCTAGTGTTGTTGTGAGAGGCTGCATTCGTCTTCAGTAAATTTTTTCTTTTGAAGATTCTTTCAACACTTTTACCCATTTCATGAAGGGTGATTTATGAACACACCTGCCCAACTGCACTGAGTGTTCAGCAGTTTTTGACCAAAACCAGCATGACCCTTGTGCCCCACTATTCACCCAATCTCACTCCAAGCAATATTTTTTTTGTTTGTTTCCCTGGATGAAAAAAGTCCACAAAGGGAAACATTTTGCTGATGTGGAAGAAGTGAAACAAAAAATGGAGAAGCATTCAAAGGAATCAAAATTCACGAGTTCAAAAACTGCTTTGCGGAAAAAACATCTTGATAGGTATATTGCATCAAACGGAGAGTATGTCGAAGGTGACTGAAATTTAAACATGTAAGAATAAATATATTTTTTATAAATAAATTTTGGTTTTATTGGGGTCTACTCTCATAGAAAAGAGGGTACTAGGGCTTGAGGGAAGAAAGAATGGGGAGTTATCGTTTAATAGAACAGGGAATAGAGTTTCAATATTCAATGATAGAAAAGTTCTAGAGAGACATGGTAGTGGTGATTATACACTACTGTGAATGTACTTAATGCCACTGAATTGCATATTTAAAAATGATTAAAATGACAAAATTTTGTTATATATATTGACCACAATTAAAAATTTACTAAAAAAAAAAAGCATGGTTCCCTTCCCCTTCAGGCTCTCAAAGGTCACCCATGCCAAGAATGTGGGTACATGGTGGGGCTTACAGATTTTCAGCCAAATCAACCCAATGAATGAACAAATTAATAATGAATCTCATGAATAAGCTGGACATGAATAACCAAAGATCCTTTATGCAGGTAGCAGTCTGTTTCTGCCTTGAGGACCACCGCACACATACTCAAGGACCCATCGAGTTGTATGGACTTTGGATAGGCTTTGGAATCAATTCTGGTTCCATGGCTGCTTATCTGGGGGCCGCAGTGGGGGAAATCCCTGGCCGTGAGCTGCCTCATTTCTTCCTCTCTACAATGGGGGTCTCACCATTTATCTCCAGCCTTGTTAGAAAGATTCAGTGAATAGGTTGCTTTCCTTTCCTTCTTTTACTTCCAGTGGAGGACCCTCTCTTTCCCTCCAATCTGAATGGGATCTTGCGGTCTCCACCTTCACAGCAGATCCAGACCCTGGCCTCTTCTCATCTCCACCCCCGCCCTATTGGCCTGCAACACCTTCAGTCCCTCCCTGGTTCCCTGGCCAGCTCTGCCCTGCCCAACTCAAGTTCTATCCTTTGGAACAGGAGTCAATGACATTCCTTCTCTGCTCAAAAGTCACTGCTCACTTGCCCTTCACCTTGCAGTGTGCACCTGCTCACTCCCCTGACCACCTCTCTAGAAAGGTTGCTCCCTCCCTACTCCCATTCTCCTGCCTGATCCGCCACCCCATGCTTATTTATCCCCATGAGACACAGGACTTTCCTCTTTGATTTGTTTAGGTTCTGTCTCTCCAATAACATGGAAGCTCCAGGAGGGTAGGGACTTGGTCTAATTTTGCTCACTGCCGTTATCTTCACCGCCAAATGCAGTGACTGACACATAGGAGTTCTCAAAAATGTTTTGTGAGTGCATGAATTAACAAGAGAATCAGTGAATGACAAAGACTGGCTCTTCACATGGGTAAAAGATCCCAGAGCACCTCTGGAGTGCTCAGCCTGGGCCCAGGTCTAATTGCACTGCTAGCCCAGCAGGGATGCTCTGAGCTATCTCCCCAGCAGAGGGCACCGGGGAAGAGAGCCGCAGTCCCACAGTCAGGACTGCCTCAGGGCCCCTGAAGTGCAAGGAGTTCACAGCCTGTGACTCTATCTTGCCTGGCAGTTCACTTCATACTCATTCTCTGTATTGGATCTGACTTACAAAGTCTCTCCTCATTCGCATTATACTGGGCAAGGTGAGTATGAAGACACCTGTTTTACACATGGGGACACTGAGGCACAGAGATGAAGCAACTTGCCCAAGACCATGTGGCTGGTGAAGGGAATCTGCCTGCTTCCAGAGCCAAGCTACCCCCTCCCTAAGAGCAACAGAGCAGTCACAGACCATAGGAGCTGGTGGGCTGGGGCACACATCATCCAAGCATCAGCATCCAGGGGGAATGAAAAAATCAGAGGGAGTTCAACCTGGGATGGTGGAAAGAGCACAGGGCAGGAAGCTCGAGCCTTGTCACACCACCTGCCTCTGGATACTTCACCCTCCTCCAGGAGCCATGACTGACCAGGAAATTGAATAGAAAAATACCTGTGCTACCTCCCGGCACTGTTTTGAGGATGCCCCAGTGCAGGGGAAGGGCTTTGGAAACCAGACAATTCTTCAACACCTTCCTGACAGTTGCATTACTGCTGCTAGTGAACAAGCACAAAGTGTATTCCCACCCACCAGGAGGTGTGAACATGGAGCTAGGATGATCTTGCCAAGACTGAGGCTCACTCCCCGCCTCCACCACCCTTTTTGAGAGCAAGAAAATGCCTAATGCACAGACTGACTTTTTCAGGGCCACACTGAGACAGATCAAACTGTTTCTGGGAGTGCAGGACTGTCGCAAGGCTCTCCAAGTTGTAGAAGAAAGAAGCAAAAGCAAAGAACTTTTCTATGCAGTGACACTATGAGAAGTAAAGCAATTTCTGTGGGGCCCAGTAAAATAGAAGTCATTTAGGCTAAGACACAAACAAAACAAACAACACAAACCACCAAAGATCCACAGTGAACTTCTAACAATAGTTGAGAGGCAGTTCTTAGCAATCAACTGTTAAAAAGGGTGGGAGGACAGACCTCCAGACCATGCTGATGGAGGGACAGAAAACCATCTGGAGCCCCTGAAGTGGCTTCCCCTCCCCATTTCAGGAAAGTAGGAGACCTTGGTCTGGTGTCATTACCAAAAGATTGGCCCTGCTTCTCTTACAGAAGCTTAACCCTCCTTGAGCTGTGTCCTGCCCCTAGTCAAAGGAGATGGCAGCTCCCGGGAGCCACCTGGGGTCATGGTTAGATGGGATATACTCACTTGTCTAAGATGAAGTAGAGGTCAAATGAACCCTGGCAGGTGTTTCCTACTGCACCTTGGCGCCAGTGATGCCTTGCGCCTGGGCCACGGTGGTGGTGGGCCCTCCGGGAGCCCAGGCCCAGACGGTCCAAAAGTTTCCAGCCAGGTCCATGGTACTGAAAATTCCGTTCTCCTAAAAGCGGTGGGGGAAGCAGCAGCAGCAGGAAGAGCAAGAAGGAGGGTCCCAGGGAGCCTCGGCTCCCCACTTTATTGGCTGTTCCTGCCATCCCAGCTCACTCTTGGGTCCTTGTGCCAGGGCCCAGGTGCCAACATGCAGGCAACCTCCAGCCACTTTCTATGCCACCTCCTCCTGTGCCTAGGGGCCGTGCCCCTCCTGTCTTGTCACCAGTACACACGGCAGCCCTATACCTTGTACCTGCTCAGATCGCAGGGTCCAGGGTCAGTGGCTGGCTCTGGGGAAAACTGCCTTCCGCTACCTGCCTGGCTCTTATCCTATCTGGGGGCAAAATTTCCTGTTGTTATGATTGACAGGAAGGTTGACATGGTGACTTTGTGACTTGAAGCTCTGCCTAATGGCCTGCATGTTGACAACACCAAGGGGGAGTCATAGGATCTCTGGAGGGGATGTGAGGGGAAGTCTCCATCTCCCTTAAGTCAGTCCTCAGAGTATCCCTTAAATCCTCCCTGAACCTGCCCTTTTGATCACTGAAAGAGTTAGCCGAGGTGACTTAGGCAGGACATCACTGTCAGGAAGGAGGTCAAGGGACTGGGAGGCCAGAGTGTTGGAAATGGAGAGGCCATTTGGAGCCCCTCCTCACCCCCTCAGGGATGGCAGGATCTAGGAGATGGAAACTGTGCCAACGTCCTTGTGAGACACTCCAGTACTCTATTGCTGTGTGCCAGGCCGTCTCACACTTAGTGACACAAAGAAAGACCCATTTTATTATGCTCACAGATTCTGAGTCTCAGACACTTAGTCAGGGCAGAGTAGGGAGGGCTCTGCATACCCAGGGCCCCTGATGGGAAGACTTGAGCAGCCCCACATAACTTGAATGATTGGGGACTGGAATCATCCAGAGGCATTTCCACTCATACACGTGGCCCCTGGGCAGGATGGCTCAAAAGCTGGGCTCAGCAGGGGTGTTCATGGAGACCTTGCATGTAGCTTCTCTGTGTGACTTGGGCTTCCTCACAGCATGGTGGCTTCAGGGTGCTTGGACTTTTACAAGTTCCAACAGTATTTCCAGTGAGCAAGGCAGCAACTACAGAGCCTTTTATGACATCACCTTGGAAATCACAGTGTCACTTCCACTGTACTCTATTGGTCAAAGCAGTCCCAAGCTTGCCAAGAGTCAGTGTGCTGGAACACAGATCCCACCCCTCCAGGGGAAGAGTGTGGATGAGTTCGTACCCTGAGCTGAAACTGCTGCATGACCAGTGTTGGGAATGGCAGAGAGACACAGGGTGTGGAAAAATGTGGGCACAGAGAACTGGGATCCAAAAGGGCTTCAGAAAAGCCAGAGTGAGATTGCAAAATGTTTTTAGGAATATCTTAATCAATTGCATATCATTTAGTGATAGATGTGTGCAAACCTCTAATAAGTCTAAAATAGATCTTTCAAAATGTGTAATGTAACAATTATAAGTGGTAAATTCCGGGTCAGCAGGGTTTTTGAGTAATATTTTTAAAAATGGACATCTTAAAAAAGTGGTATGTTAGAATTGGTGAAGTTTTAGAGTAAAGTCCCCAAAAGCTTATTAGGATGTTATTGCTTCATGTCCCCTATGACATTTGTTATTGTCCTATTTTAATATTTTTGCCTAATGGTTAAACATCTTGGAAGGTTTTTTTGTTTGTTTTTGTTTTTATTAGAGATGTTGTGTTGCTATGATTCCCATGCTGATCTCCTACTCCTGGCCTCAAGGGATTCTCCTGCCTCAGTCTTCCAAACAGGGGGTGTGAGTCACTTGCCCTGGCGGCCTTCTGGTCTTAATTTGCAGTTTCCTAATTACTATTAATAATGGTATTGTTCATCCGTCCTTGCAACTTTCGGTCATTCATCTTTCCTCTTTGTGAAGTGTCTACTCAAGTCTGCGTCCATTCTCTGATTTGGGTGTTTATCTTCTTTATATTTATTCATTTGCAAGTTTTACCTATTCTGAGCTAATTCTTCAATTGCTGCGGATTTCTTCTCCCAGCCTGTGGCTTGTTTGTTCGCTCCATTTATTTATTCATTTTAAAGATAAAGCAGTTATTAATTGTAATGCAGTTGAACTGTCATCATCTGCCCTCGCCCGGTTCCACCCCCCATAGGCAGTTAAGCCCCAGGTCACTTTTCCATTCTGGTGTCAGTCGCTCCCCTGTATCTGGTTGAGCGCTGCTCTTTCACAACCGCGGGGCTGGGAAACGCGGAGGCAGAGGGACGCTCCAGCGAGAAGCGGGCGACCCTCAGGGCTCAGAGAAGGTGCAGCTCCGGGGCGCCACACTGCGAGGAAGGAGTGCCAGGAGGCTGCGGGGTCCACTGGGGCGCCGACAAGAGCAGCAGGTGCGGGTGACCCACAGGCCGGCAAAGCTGGGCCCCGCGGGCACGAGAGCGGAGAGGTCGAGGCGCCCGGGACCAACAAGCTCGGCGAGTGTAGACGCCGCCTCCCGAAAGACGGGGGTAGAAGGCGCTGAGCCAGGCTGACTCGAAAAGGGCCAGGTCATTTCTGGCCCTCAGAGCCCCTCTTACCCGGGCTCCGCCTGCTCTCAAGCCCTGCCCCTAAGGTCGTAGACTCCGCCCCGAGGGCGGGAGCAGCCCGTGAAGGCGGGATCCGGCTGCCTTGATGGCTTCAGCGCCAAGGTCGGAACCAGGCCCTCGGCAGGAGGCAGCTGCGTCTGCACTAGCTACTCACGTGCTGTCAGAGATCCCAGGTGAAACGCACCCTCCCGTCCCGCCTGGACAGAGCGGCGGTCACATGGGCTCCGTCTCACTTCTACAGCCTTTCCCCCGGAGCTGGATTCTTGAGTCTGAACTTTGCGGGTTCTTCTCTTCCTTATGTCGCCAGGTTCCTTCATCTCTCTCCCATGTTGTGAATCTCATCGTCATGTTTGTCTCTCGTCTCTTTGTCTCTTTCTGTTTCTCTTCTGTCTCACTTTTTCTCGTCTATCTCTTCTTTATGGGCGATTTCCCGTCTTCCTGTTCTGTTGTCCTTCTGCCTCTGTTTCTGTCTCCCTTTCACTCCCTCTTCCACTCTCCCTATCCCCTTCCTTTTCTTTTTCAAGAAAGAAGTCTTCCTTTAATTTTCCCCCTCAGGATAAATTTTTGGACTATGAATCTTTGCATCCCTCCCACTGTTCATATTGTATTACTCCATTATTCTCAGCCAGAGCAGGGCTTGTGCTGGGTGCTTGAGTCATCAGTTTTCTCCAACAGATTATATTCAAAGATATGGACATGTAACCTGTTCAGGGCCTGTCTTGGGAAAAAATACAGAAATGATCAAATTATAAATCTCCGAAATTTCAGAGTTAGTTGAAAGAAAATTCGTTTTCGGTTCAAGATGGAGACTGAATCCTTTTCATGACCTTTTGCCTTTACCAATAGGGACAGACAGCACAGCAGGAAGCTAAGCCTTGCGGGAGCATTAAGGGGATCCTGCCACCACCACCTGCCTTCTGTGCAATGCTAGGTGCAGGAGAGGGAGGGGTCAATTGACAGGTGGGTTGTGGAAAGACAGTGGGAGACCAGGGTTTTATACTTGGGTGAGAACGGAAATAAGAAATTAACCATAAATTTCTAAAATATGTAATTGTCATGCCACTATTGTACAGAAATGAAGTTACACAATTACTCTTGAAGGAGACATTCGATATTTTAGGCATTTGAAGTTAATATTTTTGTATACATTAGGTAGGAAGACCAAGGTGGAAATACTTCATGTTAATATCAAAGATTGTCTTGGACATACAGTACTAAGTGAAAAAAAAATTAGAAAAGTTAGTTTGATTCATTTTTGAGGGTTAAAGTAGAAGTATTGTATACCAAGGCAATGATTTCATTTTTAGTGATTATTTTTAATATCTATCTCCGTATGTTCAAACACACAACACATACATAATACATATACCAATACCTTGCTTGTTTTTAAAGATGTTATCTACCAGCTAAAGCTTAAAGGTTTGCCTCTAAGAAATAATTCAACTTGCTGTTGTTGCATATTGTGGTTTTTAATGATAATTCAGCTTCTGAACAGCTCCTGTGGAAAAAAGCCAGTCCCGCTGTGTAGACCACTCCTGTGTGACCCCCTGGGGCTCCAGGTCCTTGAGAGGATGCAAACTGTGTGCTGTCAGAAGGATCAGCATCACTCTAATATTCTTTTCAAACTCATACCTCCGAGAGGATGCCATTGACATCAGAGAACAATGCTGGCCAGTGTTTTTTGAAGAGACAGAGACAGAAACATCTGTCCTCCCTGTGATCCTGAGTGAAGAACTCAACCTCTCTGAGCTTCAGTTTCCCATCTGTAAAATGGGATTGGGCTCAATTATTTCTACAGTCCATCCCAGATCTACTAGTATACGACTAATTGGGATGCCAGTCACCCCCTTTGTCAAAGAATAACTGGTCTGCTCGAAGCCCCATGGCTAAGCTTCCATGAGCTCACAGAGAAACACACACAAACTCACACCTATGAACTCACACACCTACCCATACATACACTCACATACACACAGACACACAATTAAACATGCACTCACACACACATATACACTCCCACACACATGCACATAAATACATAGGCACTCATCCATGCACTCACATACATGCATGAATGCTCTCGCACACTCTCATACACACACACACACAGACGGCTTTTCCACACACAGGACAGTTAACACACAATATTACTCCCAGGTACAGGAGGCTGCCCCCACCATCCTCCTGGTCCCACTGCACCTAGTACTACCTCTTCAGGTGCCCCACTGGGATGCTGTTGCCAACCACTGCCACGAGGGCCTGAACAGAACTGTCCAGAGTGCCTGGAGCCGGGATGCAATAACCATCTTCTCAGCACTAAAAATGGGGACAAGTGTCTTACAGCAGCATGGAACATCTGCTATGAGGATGCTTCAGGATAGGAGAATAAGAGTCACTGCTTATTGACTACATACATGTCCACATGCCTTGGCTTCTATACCTTATGTCATTTAATTGTTACAACAACCACATAGGGAAGCTGTGTGTCTCAATTCAAGTGCATTTATCTCTAACCTGACAAATGC